GGGGGTCAAGACAGGGTCTCACTATGTAGTCCAGGCTGGCCTTGAACTCACAGAGATCTGTCTGCCTCTGCCTCCCGAGTGCTGGGATTAAAGGCATGTGCCACCACCACCCGGCTCCTTGAAGCTCTGGATTAAGGTTCCAGGGATCAAACTCAGGCCATCGGGTTCAGGGGTAAAGTGCCTTTACTGACTGAGTCATCTCACTGGCCCAATGAGAGGTTATTTAAATCATGTAGGTCAAGTCTTGATGCGACTCCAGTGGACTTCTGAGTATTGCTGGGGGTGACAAATGATATAATGGCCTCATCCTTCACCTCAAGGAATTTGCAGTCTTTCAGGTAATGAGACCAAGGCATAAATAATGATAGCAATCGCTGTGGATTTAAAGAGAAAGTAGTAGAATGCAGGCTTGGGGGTGACCACGTGTAAGGACATGGTGTATTTAAGGAGCAGTGGGCTCCCACACAGATCTGTCCAATCACATTCACTGTTTATTCTTCTGATCTTTATTTACTCTCTCAGTACAAGGTGAAAGATATGTATCCATCCACCATATTCTCTCTCTTCTTCACCTTTCCTTTGCTCTTTAAATTGGTCCCTCTGCCTGGTATGCTATTTCCACCTGTTGACTTGAGTAAGTCCTAGTAAGTTCTGGCTTAAACTCCTTCTTATTGTAGCTTTCCATCACTAGCTCTCAGTAGTTGGGTGAGTTGATCATGTATCTGTCACACAAAATTGTAAGCTCCTCCAGGAAGGAGATCACATTTCTGTCATCTCTATAAATACAGCCATTACTTAGGATAATGCCTGCCAGGTGCAAAGTACCCTATTTTTTTTTTTTTTTAAGCTTCATTACTGCATCATGAGTGCTGACTTTTACTAGAGTCTGGATTAGTTAAAGAATTAAAAGAACAACAACAAAAAACTCTAGGAATATTTTTAACCAATAATGTAAAAGGTCTGAACACTAAACACCAAAAAAACATTTATGAAAGAACTCCAGAAGCCACTAATAAGTGGGAAGATATTCTGTGTTCCTGGACTAGAATACATATTGATAAAATGTGCATACCACCCCCAAGTAATCTACACATTCAATATAATCCTTACCAAAATTCCAATAACATTTTCACATAAGTAGAAAAAGCAATGCTAAAATTCATATGTAGCTATAGAAACCTCCAAAAAGCTAAAGCAATTTTGAGGAAAAAGAGCAAAGCCAACAGTAGCATTACATCATCTGATTTCAACATCTACTTCAAAGCTATCCAGACAAAACCAGAATAATACTAAGATAAAAAAAAAAAAGACACATATATTGCTGGAATACAAGGCCCAGAGGGCATCGTGGCACATACCTGTAATCCCAGGACTTGGCAGTCCAAGGCAGAAAAATCTAGAGTTTAAGGCAAGCCTGGGCTTCATAGTATACATAGTGAGACCCTGTCTTAGAAACAAACAAAAGCTCAACAGACCAAAAGAATACAGAGAGTGCTTTTGGCTAATTGGTCTGTGACAAAGAACAGACAATGGGGCAGGAGAGTCCCTTCAACTAATGGTGCTGGGAGATCCAGAGATTGATACACAGATGATTAGATGCTGATCTCATACCAAATACAAAGAGCAACTGAAACTGGGGTAAAGACTTTAAGCCTAGGACCTTGTCCCACCAAGCCCAGGGGAATGCTCAAGACACTGGTTTGAGCAATGGTGCTTCTAGGTGCTTCTAGAGCCTAACAGCAGCAGCAACAAAGCCAAATAGAATGGAAAAAAAAATCCATGCCAGCCATGCATTTACTAATGCATTAATATCCAAAATATACAAGGAACTCAAATAATTTCATAATCTTTTTTTTTAATCTCTATACTCTGGTGATTGATTGTTTTGTTTGTTGAACAGAAGCTTTTTAGTTTAATGTGTTTGCTTTGTTATCAATTTTGTTAGACTCATATAAAAAGAAATTAAGAGAATGTCTGCTTATGTAACCCAGGCTGGTCTTGAACTCTCAATCTTTCTGTCTCAGACTCTGAAATGCTGGAATTACAGCGGTACACCGGTACATCTGGCTCCAAACAATTCAATGGTGAGAAGACAAACTGGGGCCAGTGAGATGGCTCAGCAAGTAAAGATTTATCACATAGATCTAGTGGTCTGAGTTGGATGGATGGAACTCATATAGAGGAAGGAGAGAACCAACCATGGGTTGTTCTATGCACACATGCATGCTGAGACACTTGTGCCTCCTCCCCAGATCTCTCTCTCTCTCTCTCACTCTCACACACACACACACACACACACGCACACACACAATAAATAATAATAATATTTTTTAAAAGACAATGTGATTTAAATATGAGCAAAGGATCTAAATGTCTAAATATAAATTCCTTAAAAGGCATTCAGGTAGCTAAAAAGTATATAAAAGTGGTCAGCATTACTAACCACCAAGAAAATGCAAATTAAAACCAACTGCTACCATCAAAAAGAGATAAATGTTGGTGAGGATGTGGATAAAGGGAACCCTTACCACTGCTGAGGAGAATGTGCACTTGTAGCCATTATGTAAACAGTATGAAGGTTCCTCATACAATTAAAATGGAACCAACTTAGTCCAGGACTACCACAAGGAATTCCCCAAAGCAAACGAAACCAGTATGTCAAAGGGAACACTCCGAGGCGCCTCTCTCTCTCTCTCTCTCCTTTCTCTCCCCTATCATTGTGCCAACGTGGAAGAATCTAGAGGATAGTTTTGCATTTTATAGGCTTGGAAGCTGCAGTTGGGGAAAGCAGAAAGATATGCTCAAGGTGTAAGTGGAGGAACTGGAGTGGCAGGATCCAGTCCTGTGTCTGTCCCAGCTTGTCCCCTATACCCACAGGTAGCCAAGAAAGGAATGCTCTGAACAGGCAAGTTACATGTCATTTCACAGTCCTTACCAGGATTCAGAGTACTAACTGCGCATTAACTGTGCAACTCCGCCCACAAATGTTCCAAGAAGCCTTAGTTTCCCATCGGTGGAAAACAGATGATGAGAAAAAATGGAAAATTGGCCAGCACTTTTAATCCTTCCCTCCCATGGCGCACAGTGCATATCAGCAGATTCCCATCCAGGGAAGTTGTGTGGCAAAAAAATCTGTCTCCCTTCTGGGGGTGTCAACTAGCAAACTGTGCAGCACTCTGAGGCACTAGGATGTAGCCTCATGGGGGAATGAGGCAGGCTGCAGGTAAAGACACGGGAATGAGGCAGGCTGCAGGTTCTTTTTGAAACAAAATGCAAGCTTTTGTTTTTCTTAAGAACTTCTGAGCCCCTCCTTTTTTTGTTTTGTTCATGTTTAGGTTGCTTTCTCTTGGGAAAATAAGGAGTTAAAACAAACATAAGTCAAAAGCAACAGGCAATAAATCAGAGGGAGGGGCAACTCTGCATTCCCATCTCTGAGCTCCGGCTACACCTTCTGACTTCATTCCCCAACAGCATTTCCTTCTCCACCCTGCGGTCTTAGGGGCTGTTCTCCAGCTCCGAATGGCTGGTCATACAGCATGCCACACACAGCTGGCCCCCACGGGTCTCCCACTCCTTGCAGAAGTGGAGACACAGGTATTAGAACTCCGTTTGTGGGACTGCCACTGCCCAAGCCCACAGATTTCACAGAAATACAAGTATTTGCCTGAGGCAAGGCTCCTTCTGCCTTTGGGTTAGGCAGGAGTCTTCCAAAGACACTCCCACCACAGTGAGAATGATACTGAACTGCCTTTAAAATTTCCAGGTTACTGTTGGAGATTTTCTATTTCTCCTTTTGTGTATTTTCACTTTCCCACTGGCAGTACTTGCCTCTTAAAAAAAGAAAAGAAGGCTGAAGAGGAGGAGAGGAGAGGAAAACGAGAAGAGAAGAGGAAGGAGAGGAGATGGAAAAAGAAGAAACATTTGCAAAGAGCCTACATAAATTAGCCTAATAAAACGAAAAGAAACTCCCCACCTGCTCCGAAATGAAGGGTTCCCATTGGCAGGAACGCTTGCCAGGTGTCCCCCTAGCCACCCAGTCCAGGCACAGCACCCCCCACTCCTTACCCACTCGGAAGATCAGGTCGTCCTCGATGGGGTTCTCTTTTCGCTTGCCGGTGCTGTACATGCTGGCGGGTCTCTTCACAGCCTTCTGCTTGACGTGACCGCTCCCGGGGGACTTGACTCGTCGCTTCACCCCCTCCGTGGTGGGGGACACATCAGCAGAGCGGATGACCTTGAGTTTAAACGGGCTGCCTCGGATGTGCTGGTCGTAGAGCCTGAGGGACAAGGTGAAGTCCCCCTCCTTCTGCACGGTGTACAGGAACTCGTAGGTGCCGTTCTTGTTGTCCAGGATCTCTCCGTCCGCCACGCTGCCGTCGGGGGTGCTGAGCTCGGCGGTGAGGTATGCGTTGCCTGTCTTGCACAGCTCTCCGTCTTTGTCCTTGGTGGTTATGGTAACGGACATGGGCTGGCCGATGATGGTCTGCCGAAGCCCCTCGCCCGTGGCCACCGTCTCTGAGGCGACAGCGTTAGTGGTGAGGATGGTCCCCAGGTTGTGGATGGACTTCTTCAGTCCCTCTGTCTCCACGATGAAATCCAGCTGATCATTCTCGCGCGGGTGAAGTGGGAAGTCTTGGTCCGCCAGTTCGTTCAGCTTCTCGCTCATCTGCTTCTTCACCAGCAGCACCTCCGTCTCCGTGCCATGGTTGAGAGCCTGAGCGGTGAAGTTGCTGCAGCTCTTGATGCTTTCCTGGCCTTGGAGCAGGGTATCCAGCTGCGACTGCAGCACCTGCCAGGTACAAAGAAGCAGTGAGCACTTCCTACAGGACACTGTGCAGCCTCCGGGACACTTGCCAGGAGCTGGGGCAGAGCCTTCCGCCCCAAAGAATCAGCTTCTATACCCGCCCACTCAGGTGGCTCCAAACCAGCTGCATTCCATTTAACCCAGTGAACCCATGCAAAATGCTAAGTTGCATTACCAGCACCTTCTGGAGATTTTCCCTTCCGCCTCACCCTGCTCCATCACCCACACGCGCATTTCTAGGGTCATCTGTTTACATGGGGCAAAGCAGAACGAGCACTACCAACAGTTGTGGCAACACACATTTGTCTGCTTGAGGTGAAATAAGTCATTACTCCGCGGCTTTCCCTTACATTCGGAGCTGCCTGGTCACCACCTCAAGAAACAAAACCCAGCGATTTGAGAAGTCTCCACATCTGAATACCAGAAGCTCCCCTCCCTGGCTTGGGGAACAGACTTGCAGAGCCAAACAAAGGCTACAGTCAGGATGCACTTTGAAGTTGAGGAACAGGTTAGTGTGGGTGAGAGCAGTTAAGAGGCTCTCCCACGTTATAATTAAGGGAGGAAAGCATTCCAGGCAACTCTAAACCCTGAAAACATTATGATTTGCAACCTCTCCTTGTTTCAAACTATAAATTGCTACAGAAGGTCACAGAATCCTAATTTTGCCCAGAGAAAAATGGAGGGGGGGTGTTCTATTAAATGAAAACAGGAGTTCAGTGTACAATGGACATTTAAGGACCTATGTAGGTTCCTGCAGCCACTGCTGCTGTTAGAACACAGTAAGCCAGTGCTATGAATGGAGGGTCCCTGGTGTCACATCTCTTACAGGAAACCTGTAGGACTGCAGAGTCTTACTTTGTGTTTCAGTCCATAGTTGACCTCAAGCTCCATGAGCAACACACTCTTTCGAACATTTAAAGTCTTCTGCAGCTCATCAAAGGTGGAGTGGATGTCATCTACGATGCTGGCCTTTTGGTTGGTTAACTGATGGATGATTTCTGAGATGAACTGAAGAGCAGAATCTATTTCTGGGAGTCTGAGAGGCAGAAGAGTCGTTAACGATCATTAACATCCACGCAGAAATATTCCAAAGTCTACCTACACTTTTCTGTTTCTCTAAAAGCAAAATGCCCTTTCTATGCCACTTCTCACTGATGCAGGATGTACTTTTGTATACTGTCAATATGTGTTGCTTCTATTGGTTGATGAGTAAAGCTGTTTTGACCAATGGCCAGGCAGGATGGAGCCAGGCAAGAAATCCAAACAAAGATACGGAGAGAAAGAAGGCAGAGTCAGGGAGACACCATGTAGCCACATCTGGTAAATTGCAGAATGGTAAATTATACAATAATAGAAATGGATTAATCTAATTATGAGAGCTAGTCATTAATATGCCTGAGCCATTGGCCAAACAATTATAATTAATATGAAGCCTCAGAGTGATTATTTTATAAACAGCTCTGGGACCAGGCAGAATGCATAAAAGTTTCCATTTACATCTCGCCATCTTTAAAAAGCAATAGAAGAAATGATATTTTGAGGATCACACCACTTTCAATCTATCTTCAACCATCTATGTTAGTTATTGATGGTGTGATATCCCTTGTAGTAGAAGACTGCCTTGTGCATAAGGATGTTTAGCAGTGTTCTCTCCTCTACCCAATGCCAATAGCATATTTCCATCCCACCACTGCCAGGACACCAAATGCCTTTAGTTATTGTCAAGTGCTCTGGGGGGTGGGTAGAGAACCGCTATAGTCTAAATGTCTAGGTTTATCATCCCCACACCCACCCCAGTCACATAAACTTGATGAACTCAGTATCCAGCGAACTTCTTCTAAGTTCCCAGGTTCCTTTAAGTAACATTGAATGACTACACTTTTCTCACTAGGACTGTTGACTATCAGTAGAACTATTGACTATTTTTCAACTGGTTGTTAATGTCTTCGGTCTGTCTCTCTCACACAGGACACAGGCACTACTTTCATTTGTATCCATGCCAATGAAAAAACCTGAAAACAAACACACTAGGAAAACTGAGCGATCACTGCTCAGCACCGTTATACAGGGCTCAGCAGAGCAGAGCCATCCCAGCCACCACCACTGCTGGAAGAAGAGTAACAGATCTAAGGAAAATCTCAGTTCTGGTTCCAGGCAGGAAATTCAGAGCTCTCATGATCAAGAAGAATGTAGGACACACAGAGTGACATATAGGGGCTAGCATGACCCTACCATCTCAGATACTAGACGTCGAGGCCAGGCCTCACATGGGTTGGGGAGTCTGGAGGGGCATGGCACCTTTTGTTGACTGCATCCAGCTGGACCTGGAGGGAGGCCTTGTGCTGTTCCACCACATCCTTCAGGGGTACGGTGGGGTGCTCCGCGTGCTCGCCCTCGGTGCACTCCCGACACATGGCCGTCTCACAGGACTGGCAGTAAAATTCCATCACCTGTGGGTAACACAGAGAGTTTACCCTGCAGGAAGCATATCCACATTCTTCCACTTCATTCTCAGTCACTAAAGCTGTTGGCATTACAGAGCCCAAGCTTTGACGGGCTCCAAACAGAACTGCATCCGACTCCAAAGCCACTCACTGCTGGGGCTCTCAAACACTTTGGTCTTAGAACCTCTTTAAGCTCTTTATAAAGTACTGAAGACTTCAAAAGAGCTTTTGAACCAGAAATTTTAAGAAGGAACTTAACAGAAATATCCCAACACTGGAAAGTATATCAATTAAAATATAAAATTCACTAGAGGAGTTTGCCAGACAGCATGAGCAGCAGGCAGGAAAAGAAAAATCAGTAAAGATGAAATTAGATTATTCCAGCTCAAGGGGCAGAAATTTAAAAAAAGAACAAAGAAAAGGTAACAACCTAGAAGTATCAGAAGAAAGGAAAAAAGAGGAACAGAAAATATTTGAGGGCCAGCAAGATGGTTTCAGTGGCTGCACTTACAGCCAAGCCTCATGACCTGAGTTTCATGCCTAGAACTTACATGGTAAAAGTAGAGAACCAACTCTACAATGCTGTCCTCTAACCTCCACTCCCAAGCTCTGACACACACACACACACATACACACACACACACACACACACACACACACACACACACACACACAGAGTGTGTGTGTGTATGTATATATATGTACATATATATATATAAAATAATTATTTTAAAGAAATAATATTTGAAGAAATTAGAGATGGAAACTCCTCAAATTTTGATGAAAGAAACAAATTGACACAGCCAAAAAGCTACGAAAACTCTAAGTAGCCAACTCAAAGAGAACTGAACCAAAACACCTCATAGCCATGCTATCACTTATGGACAGAAAAGTACACAAAACTGACAAGTAATGGTCAGTAAGATTAATGATGCACTTCCTATCTTGGGGCATTTTAGGCCTAGCACAATGTCACAAGCCTGTAGTCCCAAAACTTGGGAGGTAAAGGTGGGAGGGTTGCAAGTTCAAGGCCAGCTTTGGCTAAATAAGGAGATTATGCCTCCAACAACCAAAGTCTCAGGACTGTGCACAACTGCCTGTAACTCTAGCTCAAGAGGATCTGATATCTCTGGCCTCAAAGGCACTGCACATATGCACATACAGACACAGAAACACACTGAAAATGTTAAGAATAAATCTTTAAAAAGCAAAAAACAACAATGAAAAGGTTTGGGGACATAGCTCAATGATAGAGCACTTACCCAAAATGCACAAGGTGCTGGATTCAACCCCATACCAAATAAATAAATAAACATAAAAAGGAACAAGTTTGAATGTTTAACATAAAGGAGCAGAAAAAGAAATATTCTGTAAATTACAACCAAAAAAAGATCTGGGTAGCTAATTTAGCGTCAGACATGACAGACTGAGGTAAATGCCACTGTAACAAAAAGGAAATTATATAAATTTGAAGGAAAAAACTTTATTTAGATTGGCCAAATTACTAAAAGCAGGAGCAAAAGTAGGTAGATTTTGTTACTGACATCTTGGAAACATAAAGAATTATAATGAATTATAACAACACTGTGGATAGTTGTATGTCAGCAGGTTGGATAGCCTAGCTGGGGTGAATGGATTCCTAGAAACACTGAAACTACCAAAACAGATGCAGAGAAGAAATGCAAGTCTGAATAGAGTTATAGTCAGAAAACTGCCAGCAAGGAAAGGCCTAGGACCCAATGCTTCACTGGTAGGATCTACCAAGCATTTTAGATGACTCCATGGTTAAGAGTACTGGCTGTTCTTCCAGAAGACCTGAGTTCAATTGCCAGCACCCATATGTAAGCTCACAAGTGTCTGTAACTCCAGTCCCAGGGGACTAACACCCTTACACAGACATACATGCAGGCAAAACACCAATGCACATAAAATAAAAATAACAAATTATTAGAAAAAAATTATTCCGATCCTTCCCAAATATTTCTAAAAAGTATAAGAGGAGCACATTTTGGTGGCACACACCTTTAATCCCAACACACGGGAGGCAGAGGCAGGTGGATCATTGTGACTGTACACCTGGTTTAAACAGTGAGTTGTACAATTCTAGGGCAACCAACATAGTGAGACCCTGCCTTCAAAAAATAAAAATAAAAAAAAATAAGTGTAATAAGTGTGTGTGCATGGTGTGTGTGTGTGTGTGTGTGTGTGTGTGTGTGTGTGTGTGTTTTTTTCTTTCACTGGGCCAAGGGCATTGCAAAACAATGACAGACTGATTGATGTTCCTTGTAAATTTGGGTGGAAAAACCCCGTGTAATAAACTAGCAAAACTCATGAAAAGGTTGGTACGATTTCTACCAAGACTGCAGGGAGTCACAATAAACTAACAAAATTAACCCCGCCGTATTTCAGGGGATGGTAGGATTTATACCAAGATTGTAGGGAGGGTCATATATGAAAATCACAACCTGGGCACGTGACATTACCAGGCTGAAATGGCTGTTTACAGGTGTGGAGTTGCTTTTGGGGGATGATGAAAACATTCTGGAACCAGATAGTAGTGATATTTGCACAATTTATGAATATAAAAGCCACTAACTGTACACTTTTAAACTGTACACTGTTGAAGTATTGAATTTGGCCAGGTGTTGGTGGTGCACACCTTTAATCCCAGCACTCGGGAGGCAGAGGCAGGCGGATCTCTGTGAGTTCAAGGCCAGCCTGGTCTCCAGAGTGAGTGCCAGGATAGGCTCCAAAGCCACAGAGAAACCCTGTCTCGAAAAACCAAAAAAAAAAAAAAAAAAAAAAATATTGAATTTGATGTTATGTAATTTTTTTAACCTTAAAAAGAAGAGAAAAGAAAACAAACAAACAAACAAACAAAAAAACAAAACAGCCCTGACTGCACCTTTGAGTGGACAGCAGCAAGTATCCATTGTCTGCAGTTCAATATCCCAAGTGCGTCCTGGGAGAAAGAACTTGGAATCATTTTGAAGTGCCGAAAGCTAGTGGCTCTCAAATGCTCTTTCTAGGCTTTTAAAGCCGAGGCTTGTTGAGCTCGGCACTAATTGTGGCGTGACTATGTGCCCCTCAGCTAAGCTCATTCATCTCCAGAGAGATGATGCCACTGTCCCCAGGGGTGGGAGGGCAGCCAGAGCTAGGGTGAGCTTATTGCTGTTGACAGGTGGTCACCGACTATGTCCGTCAGCAGAGGAGCTGGCAGGACCACATGCATTCCTAGGGGGAAAAGGATGCTCCAGGCCTGTGGCCAATCTGGAGGTCTTTGTGGGGAATCCTGACAGTTGATGGGGGAGGGGAGATGCCTTTGTTAGTGACAGGGCATTCTCACCCTGAACATCCCCTTCCTGTCAACATCCTTGTTAGCTGTTGGATGGATCCCCACTGAACACTGACAGGGTTCCCCGGCCATTTGTCTACCTAGGATCACAAGGCATGAGCTCAAGTGTTGGCTCTAAGAGCAAAGAGTCTCTTAGATCACTGGCCGTCATTCTGTTTTTCTTTAGCACTTGGCAGTGCTGTCCCAGAAGCTTAATGAGCAGAGCACACACAGCATTTCAGCACGTGACAGGCTTTCATCCACTGGTGCTCATCAGTGTAGCAGCACCCTGCTTTGCAGTTAATCACCTGATTTTATTAACCTTCATATGCTCTACTGGTTTTTAGAGATTTACCCACGGCAGTTAACTGCAGCAGTTTATCTGTGATATTGAGTTTGGTTGCATAGGCAATGAGCATTCCCGTTTCAAAGAAGCATAGCCATCAGCTCCTACAGTCTCTGACCAACTGCCTTCACTTTTCTGAAGAGCAATTTACTCTTTTCTCCACAAGACCTGAGGTCAGAGAACAAACCCGTGGAGCTGTTCGCTTCTTCCACCTTATGTGGTTACAGAGTAGGCCTGTGAAGCAAGCACCTTCACCTGATGAACCATCTCACCAGCCCTTGGTTATTATCTTAAAAAAAAAAAAAAAAAAAAGAATAGAGATAATTTTTCTTTTGTGAAGCCTAACATCCATAATGTGATTTTTTTTTTCTTTTTCTTTTTTTGGTCATTTATACCTATCCTCTGGATTTTCAAAGTTCTTTGCTCAATTTCTTTTGAGATAATCATATTTTCCTTGTCAGTGTTCTTTCATATAAAGAACTCTGAGTCATTTTAATTGAGAATTTTTATGGCTGGTATTATAAGTTAAATTATTAATAGAGTTCATTTTTTGTCTCCCCTAGTGAAGGGACCAGCTCCCTATTTCGGCAGCCATAACAGCTGAACACTTGCTTGCCTGACCTTGTCTTGGTCACTAAGGTCAGATGCCTGCCCCTTTCAGAAGCCATAACAGCCAAACACGTGCTTGTCTGACCTTGCCTTGGTCACCAGGAGGTTAGGCGCCTGCAAGGAACCAATCAGAAGTAGGCTGGTGGTGCTATGCTTTACAGCTCTGGGTGTGCTTTACGGACAATGCACACAGAGCAATGGCACACAGAGCATAGCAACCACCTTGGGAGGGCCTATTGGCCATAACAACCAGTTGACCAAGCAACACAGGGCAAGCCCTCCAAGCCTGGAGACACACCAATCCTGAGCCTGTGCGTAACCCTAGACACTACCCTTATGCTGCCCTATAAGATCTCTATGCAGATGCTTCGAGCTGTCTTTCCTAGCCATCCGCCATGGCGGGTGGATGAAGGACCCGAGCTAACATGGGTTAGCTCATTAAACAACAATAAAGCCTCGTGCTGTTTGCATCAAGCTTTCGACTCCACCTGGTGATTGGGGTGACCTCTGTGCTGGCCTGAGATCCTGGAGGCCTGAGCTTCCGGGGTCTTACACTAGGTTTTGGTATCAGGAATATAAATTTGCCACAAATTAGCTATGCTGCTCTCTATCTCATTATGTAGGCCAGGCTGGCTTTGAACTCACACTAATTTTCCTGCCTCAGCCTATGCCGAGTACCTGGCTTCCAACTTCCTGAGTTGCATTCTTTTCAAATAAAAGAAAATATTTACCTATAAAAATCTCTTTTAAAAAAATACATGGAGTTATTTACCTCAAACATGAGATAGTAAAGTATTTATTTCTGTGGGGGTTTTTTGCTGTGGTTTTTTATTTATGTGCATTGGTGTTTTGCCTGCATGAGCATGCCAGGTACCCTGGAACTGGAATTACAGACATCTGTGAGCTGTCATGTGGGTGTTGGGAATTAAACCTGGGTCCTCTCGAAGGACAGCCAGTGCTCTTAACCACTGAGCCCCCATTTCTGTGTTTTATATAGTCCCATTTTGTCCTTACTTCATGTATTAAATAGTTGTGAGTCTCAAAAAGACATTTTGTGCTTCTTTTCCATGAACAATTGCCAATTTAATTTTAGTGCATTGTGCAGGAGCTAAATACACTGACATTTTGTTGTGTCCAGTTGTACGGTCAATTTCAGTGGCTCAAGCTCTCCCAACCTTAGCTTCTCTTAACAGATTGCCTTCTTAAAACATGCAGATTTTTATGTGAGGGAGGCAGATTCTCCCATGAGCGTCCTCTTTCCTCTGAAACACATCTTCTTCAATGGTGATACCCTCTAGTCTGGCCATTTATCAACATCAGTTGGACATCTTAGTAAATGCAAACCCGGTTCCCAGTCTTAGTCTCACTACTCTATCCACCATTCAGACAGTAAACTGTTCACCTCTTATTTTGAAGGTTTAATGTTCCATGTTGCTTTTGGAATTTAGGTCAAGTACTTTCTCGATGATATCACGTGTCACAATCTCTCCAGAGCTACTTTTCTGGTTCTTCCTACAAGTCTCCTGCCCACCTGTATTCTGGCCCCACCTCCAAACTTCATGTTCTAGGTGCCTAGCACTCCTGAACACCACCACACCTTTATATTGATTACCATGTTATCTCCGCAAGTGCCATTTATTCACATTCTACACAACCACTGGTTCAAACATAGGCTGGTGACTACAGTGGGATGGATGCCTCGTGTTTCTGAGACTTCCCTATCAAACAGGGTCTGCAGGGAGCCCCATGGCTGAACTAAACTTTATGGGAACTTGTTCCTGACAGAAATGTTCTCTTAGACGTAGCACTTAGGATGGAGTCCAGGCAGAGAGCCTCAGGGTTCACTCTAAGCCAATAAGAAAAGGGGTCAGAAACATAACAACCAATCTGCTTTGGGAGGAAACTTTTCAGCTGTTTCAGTAAAACTGGCACCATAGTGTCCCTTGGGTTATATTGTATATGCTATATTTTGGTGTTATTACTAGCTTGGTGTACTTTCACTTAAACAGTTCCTGATGTGCAAGGCACCGTGTCTTCTTGTGTATGAAGCCATCATAAAGCTCAGGACGCTATTGATTCTAGGTCTAGCTTTAGTGATGTGTCAAACTGGTGCTTAACCTGTTTAAGCCTGAGAATATCCGTCTATGGATAAGGGTCACTTCCACCTGCCTTGCAGGCTGTGTTGAGAAGCTGAGTGTGGGCATCTGGCAAATCTGTGCAACAATCTGCTGAAGATGCAATTCTCAGTGCTAAGGTCTCTGCCCACTTGAGCTCCTTCTAGAGGGAGAGCTAGAAGACCAATGATCAAACAGCCCATAGATGACATTATTAATGCCATGGGGCAGGATAGGAAGTGACATGATGGAGGGGAAAATGTTATTATTAAGAGGTGGCTGGGCATGATGGCACATGCTTTTATTTCCAGTACTCAGAAGGCAGAGGCAGGCATATCTCCATGAGTTCAAGGCCAGTCTGGTCTACATAGACAGTTCTAGACCAGTAAGGAGTACATAGAGAGACCCTGTCCCCCCAATACAGGGGTGGCTTGCCTCAGAGAGCATAGATAGAGAAAGCTGTTCTGGGAAGGAAATGGAGAAGGAAGGTTAAGGACAAACAAGACACAGGAGAGAAGGCATGGAGCATTGTAGGAAGAAGGAATGGGACAGCCACTTGAAGGCAGAAACCCCACTGAGAGTTTAAGAAGGCCAGGCCAGCTGAAGTCAAGCAGGCAGAGTGCAGTGTAATGTGCACTCAATGGCTGAAAGAGACTGCTTGGCTCTAACAACCACTTGCTAGGCTGGAGAGATGGCTCAACAGTTAAGAGCACTGACTGTTCTTCCAGAGGTCCTGAGTTTAATTCCCAGCAACCACATGGTGGCTCACAACCACCCTGAATGAGATCTAGTGCCCTCTGTTGGCATGTATGCAGAAGACTGTATACATAATAAATAAATAAAATCTTTAAAGAAAAAAAAAAACAACCACTTGCTTTCCTGGTGGTTTATAATAGGCTGGGCATGGGGTAGCTTCACAGGTAGCTTCGAATGCTTCTTAAGTGACCAATATAAGGAAAAAAGTGAATAAAGTCACTGATTAGAATTAATGTAATATTAGGGCTGGAGGTATAGTTCAGTGGCAGGGCATGCGCATTCAGAAGGCCCTGGGTTTGATTCCTAACACCAAATCATCATCACCATCATCACTATCACCATCATCATCATCATCACCATCATCGTTATCATCATCCAATTCAGTGAACCGTGGTAGGAATTGAATCCAAAGACTTTCACATGCTAAGTGTGATGATTTGAATGAGAATGGACTCCAAAGGCTCACATAACTGAAAGCTTGGTTCCCAGCTGGTGGAACTGCTTGGGCAGGATTAGGAGGTTTGGCCTTGTTGAAGAAGGTATGACACTGGGAGCAGGCTCTGAGGCTTCAAAAGACTCATGTGAGCCAGGTGGTGGTGGCATATGCCTCGGAAGGCAGAGGCAGGTAGACCTGTCAGTTCAAGGTCAGCCTGTTCCAGGACAGCCAGGGCTACACAGTGAAACCCTGTCTCAAAAGACTTAAAACAAAACAAAACAAGCAAGCAAGCAAACAAACAAACAACCCTCAGATGATTCCCAGTCTCTCTATCTGCCTACAGTTGTGGTTGTGTCTCAAGATACTAGCTCTCAGCTACTGCTCCAGCATCATGCCTGCTTGTCTGCTGCCGTGCTGCCTGACATGACAGTCATGAACTCTAACCATCTGAAACCCAAGCCCCAAATTAAATGCATTCTTTTATAAGTTGCCTTGGTCATTGTTTTATCACAGCAATAGGAAATTAATTAAGGCATTCATTCTACCACTGAGCTACACTTCTAACCTATCAGAAATATGTGTATAATTTTATAGAGATTCTCTCTGCATTGCCAAGGCTGATCTCAAACTCATCATCTTCTCTCTTAGTTTCCTGAGTGCTGGGATTATAGATGTACACACCACACCTGGATCAAGAGATAATTTTAACAGTTAGCCTTTACTTGAGAGCTTACTATACACTTTACATCATTTAATCATTTCATTTCCCAATTTCAAGTAATCCTATTTGGTAAATATTATTATTACTTCCTTTACACAGAAAAGGAAGTGAGAGTTTAAGAAGCTTTCTAAAGCTAAGGCAGGGAACACCTTTAAAAACAGGGTTTGAATCAGCCAGGCTGACTCACAAACCCGTGCTCCTAGCCATGGCGTTATCCTGTCCCTTCCAGGCACAGAGATACTGTGAGTCAGTTATTTGATGAGTCTTATAGGTCCATTTGCATTTATAACAGTTATTGTGCTTGCTAGAAGCAGGAAGTATGTTTGCAACTCACAATCTGTAGTCTTTATCGGGGATTCACAAAACTTCAGTTCTTCATTCTTAAGGAGAAGGATCTAAGCCATGAGAGAAACCCTTCTCCAAGAAAAATAATCTTCAGTGAATTAGCATTTTAGTAATCACTTTCAATTTGTAGAGCTTATCTGCTATTAAATCTGTATCCATGATTTTTTTTTTTTTTTTTTTTTTTTGGTTTTTCAAGACAGGGTTTCTCTGTGTAGCTTTGGAGCCTATCCTGGCACTCGCTCTGGAGACCAGGCTGGCCTCAAACTCACAGAGATCCACCTGCCTCTGCCTCCCAAATGCTGGGATTAAAGGTGCGTGCCACCAACAAACACCCGGCTGTATCCAAGATTTTTGATTTGCACATTATGTTAGAGTACTCCTAGTTTGCAAGCAGCTACTTTCTCTCTCTCTCCTGAGGACAGAAACAGTATATTCTAAGTAGAGATGATGAAGATGGATTTTATGATGTAAGTAACTATGGTTAGAGAAAGTGAGCAGGACAAATAGTCTGAGTGTTGTTTAGATCTTGTTTTTAATTAGACATTTCTCAGACTTTTATTTTAATTCAGAAAAGATAGTTAATTTGCTTTAATGAAGAATCTCTGAGGTATGTATCCGAAGCTTTCCCAAGGCCATAGCCACCATGTCCCCCGGGCAGCCTTCTGTCTGCCTCACTTACATTCCCATCGTGGTTTGGGCACGAAAGAGGCTTTCCTGCAGCCACAGCAGTGACCGTCTCCAAGATGGAAGAGTCCTCGCCATTGCTGCCTGGCGTTCGCTGCAGCACATCCATGAGGTTTGTGATGAAGAAGTTGTTCTGGAGTGCAGCCACCCCTTTCTCAGGCAGGATAGAGGTCTGGCGACACACCGGGCAGGAGAGGGTTAAGCTGTGGGCTGGAATGTAGTTCTGCAGGCACCTGTAGCAGAGCACACATGGGGGCAGTCAGCACAGAGTGCCACTTCTGCAGGTACCATCCATGTTCTCATCAACAATGGCTGACCGTGGGCCACTTTGCAGAAACCCACTCTTTGTGGTGTCCTGTACCAGGGAAATGAAGCTTCAGAGGCCAAGAGCTAACCTGTCCTCATATCAGCTCTGTACACTGACCAGGCAAATGACTGTGCTTAGGAAGAAAAGAAAATGTCATAGACTTCTGTAGTATCTAAAGCCCCGATACCCACACTGTGGCTGATTCAAGGCCAAGCAACCTTGACCTTCCAAGGAACTTGATAGACCTACCAGGTCAGATGCCCATGAGACTCACACACATAGTAAAGGTTAGAAAGTCTTGTTTTGCAAGCATCGAGCTCACAAATGTGTGGACTTTTGCAATGGGGGGGGGGTCAGATGTGTTTGTTAACATTGAAATTCATCTGACACACAAAACCATAATCATAAAAAAAGCATCTGATTGAAAATATTTGGTTGAATCAAAGATGGGACACCCAGACTCAATCACAGCATCTCTTGTTTCTACTCAGGAAGCACCAGTTTCATCCAGTTAGGTAAGAAAGAGATATATTTACAAACTCCATTTGAAATATTCTGGTGAACCATTATGATCTCTTTGGACAATGAGGAAACAGGGGTATAGAGAGGAGCTAATTACCTCACCTAGAGTTCTTTAGGAGGTCAGGGTTAGAGTGGGAATCCAAACCCAGGCAGTTTGACATCATAATCTAACCTCTAAATAACTAGAGTTGGAGTTGGGCTTGCAACTTGGTGGTTAAGTGCTTACCCAGCATGCATAGGTCTCATTTAAGCAATGCAGAAACAAACCCAAAATTATACTGTACTCTGTTTTCCAGTTGCTTAGCCAGAGTTTGAGAACCACCAATGTGGCCTTTTATTTTGCAGATGGAGAAAGTGACACCAAGTAGGGTTAGCTGATGAGTGTCTCAGAGGTAACTGGGGCTAAGTCTCTGCCAGAAATGAAACAGATCTACTAAAGAAAAAAAAAAAAAAAAAAAAAAAAAAAAAAAAATTAACTTAAGGCCAAGATGTATTTTTAATTGTATTTTACTAAACAACTGACATTCATCAAACTTGACCTTGCCCCCACTTTCCTTTTTTGCTGGGTCGTCTTCCTACGTGTTTATTGAGTCCATTCCTCCTGTCTGTTCTGTTTTCTGAGTTACCAAAGCTTGGTGTTACTTATGCTCCATCCTAAAAGCTCTTCTTCTGGAATCTCATACCATCATTAGTGTAAGACTTATTTCTTCATACAGATACCCTCTCTGTGTCCTATGTATGCTACCTCTTGACATTTTTTAGATGTCTCAAGGGCCACAAAACCCAACAGGTAACAAACCAAACCAACTTCTTCCACAAACCATGTCTTCATCCTATATTGATGAATGGAACCTCCATCCATTCATCCAAGCAAAACAAACACTAGGAGTCATTTGTCAAATAGCAACTGCCTTCCTGTCCTTCATTTCTTTTACCCACACCATTAATGGAGCCTGTCAATCCCTAAAAAACCTTCCCAAATTCTCCAGTTCTCTTCACGCCTATTCTACATATTTTTTAGATTTGGGCAAGGCCCTAACACAAGGCATACTGTTTTCTATGCTAATTGTTATAATCCTTCTCCATATTGCAGTCAGAGTGACATTACCAAAATGATAAACAAACCATGTAAAGCTCTGTCTCCTCCCATCTGAGATGAAAGCCCACCAGGGCTACCACTGATCTTTCATGAAAGTTAGGATTCCACATGTGAGACCATGGGTTTCTCACATTTATGATCTAGCACTGAAGTGTCCTTGGTCTCTTCATTTGAAGCATATCAGCCGCAGGGGATCTATATCTCTCTATCTCCTAGTCCCTTACTATGGCATGTTTGCATATCTCTGACATTCTTTTCTCTCATTCAATTCTCTTGCTTAACTCTTACTGACTCATGCTGGGCGGGCGGTGGTGAACGCCTTTAATCTTAGCACTCAGAAGGCAGATCTCTGTGAGTTCCAGGCCAGCCTGGTCTACAAGAGAGAGTTGCAGGACAGGCTCCAAAGCTACAGAGAAAACCCTGTCTCGGGGGAAAAAAAAAAAAAAAAAAAAAAAAAAAAAAGAAGGAAGACAAATAAGAAGTATGCTTTCTTTTTCAGAAGTGAGTCAGTCTGTTTCTGGATGCTTTCTCAGACTTGTAATTGTATCAAATGAAGTAAGTCACTGGTGATTCCTGACTGGGTTCCTAGCTGCATGTTAGGAGCACAAGTCAGGCATTGTCTCCCGATGGTAGCCGCACAATCCTGGGTAAGAGCCTGGCAGGTGGCAGGTGAGCGCGGGAGCAGGAAAGAGGCTTACCTTTCGCAGAAAGTGTGCAGGCAGGGCAGGACCTTGGGGTTCTTGTACCGTTCCAGGCATATACTGCAGATCAGAAACTGCTTGTCGATCTGGCGCACCACGGGACTTGGGATGCTGGCGCCCTCACTGGCCATCCTAGACCATTGACATGGGGGGCCGGCTGTCCTCGACCCTGCACGCTGCTGCAGTCAGAGAGAAAAGCCAAAAGGAAAACACATGATCACCCTGTACCCGCACACCAGTCCTGGGCTCTTCTATTCTAAACAAAGGTAGAAGCCAATGTCAATGATCTCAAAATAACCAGAGCCAGCTCCCATTGCCACGGAAGGAATAGCAAGCTTGTTTGTGCCGCAAATAACAATAAAATGGTGACATCTTCCTTCCCCCCCCCATAGACAACAGATCAGGAGAGGGTATATCCTACCAAGAAGATGTTTGTTGAGTTTTAGTGAGTGGAGGCTGAGGGGGCAAATAGTTACACAGCTAGGGACTTGCCTTTACTCATGACTGTATTTGGATATACATTTGCCTTTTATGTTCATATGACATTCAGTATGTTTTTTTTTTATTGCCATACTTTGAAGGGACTAGAAGATGCCACTGCCAACTCGTCACATTGGTGTATGTTATTTTAACTGAAAGCTGTTGAGAAACAATACGCAGTCATTGGCAAAAACTTACCACCTCTTTTGTTATGTACCTGTAAACTGATGAAAGACACTCGAATGGGGCAAAGTTACACAGACTGTACTGACGTCAGTTTTTTAAACATTTACTTGTTTTATTTGTGTGCATGTGTGTGGGCATGTCACTGCACATGTGGAGGTCAGGGGACAACTTGTGTGAATTGGTTCTCCTTCAGCCATGTGGATCCAGTGCTTGAACCCAGGTCCTCAGCATTGGCAGCAAGCGCCTTTACCCACTGATCCATGTCTCCAGTCCTGATGTCAGTATTTGTTTGTTTGTCTTCTCATGTGTTAGTATTCTTAACTCTGCATGCTCGGAAGTTCCATAGAAAAGAGGTGCAAAGCCAAGCAGGTGACCAGACTTGGGCATTTTAACAATAGTAAACACAAAGGAGCTGTCTTTCCCTCTTTTTCTAAAGAGGACATAAATTTTCCTCTTGTAAAGGACATTTCTCCCTCCCAGCTGAAGTGTGGGGAAGGCTCTCTCGTACTGTGACTGCAAGGAGATGGGTCTTCATAGCAAATGGTGCTTGACAAAGCTCCTAGACCCCGGCTTCTCTCTCACTTTCCCACTGCCCAGCCTCAGAGCCCAACCCTTTCCCCTTTTGTCAGTTCTTCACAATGATCAGGAGTTATTAAACTCTACTATCTAGTGGCAGAGCAGAGATAAAGCAGAGACAGGTCCTGTAATCTTAAAGAAATCTCCCTCACCTTTGTACATTTGAAGGGAAAAGAGAAGTCAGAGGAAACTTCAAAATTGTGAGGGATTGTGCATGTGACAAAGACCACAGAGAGGAAAGTGGAGTCCACTGGACAGGAAGTTATAACAGATACAGCTTGGACCGCCACCTTCAAGTGTCTGGCTTCTACCTCAGAAAGTTATCATGGATTGAGCCAAAATTCACTTCTCAATTTTCTAAACACTTGGCAAGTGCTGACAGGTCTCTTGTTTTCAAGAGAAATACTGTACCAAAGAAGGAAGAGAGGGAGGGCAGACAAAAACTAGTTAATCTTCAACATAATAGAAATGAATAACTTGTTCTCATTCTATGTATTAAACAGACATACAGGTACACACACACACACACACACACACACACACACACACACACACACACATGAGACCCTTGCTTAATGTCTGTGTATCTCTTGGAACTTACAGCCTTTTCACCTCCTAAACTGCCCGCCACGCTAACCTTGTGTCTTGATAAGGCTTTGCTCGCTCTGGAAGCTTGGTCCACAGCTGGCACTAGAACTTGGTCCATGACCCATATCTGAAGTTGGGAACTGTAGAGTATTTATGCTTCTGTGGGAACCACTCTCCCAAACATGAATGATAGCTCTTAAGCCTCACCAAATAGCCAATGTTTTTAGATGTACTTCAGCTCTTTGCTTTAAGGATTTATTTATTTTTTTATTTTGTGTACATGAATGTCTTGCCTGCATGCATGTGTGCGCACTACAAGAATGCATGATTGTCTGAAGAACCTAGAAGAGGGGGTCACATCCCCTGGAACTGGAGTTACAGATGGTTGTGAGCAATCATGTGGGTGCTGGGAACCAACTCCCAGTCTTCTGAAAGAAAGCCAGTGTTCTTAAGCAATCCAGTCCCAAGTAGTAGTTCAACTTTTATTAAGAAAACCCTGGCTCTTACAATCCAAGTGGTCAGCCCTAAAAACATATACATTCAGGCAATACTAATGGACCCAGCACGTTGTAATTATATATTTAATCATTTTACATATGCTAGTAATTTTATATTTATCTTAATGTTATACTTATTAAATATGTGCAACTAAAATAAATACAACACACCAAGATTAACCAGATCCAAAATCTACACATCTCAATGAACTTCTCCATAGTTAGAAGAGGCATTCTGAAGCTGAGGAGTTTCACACTGGATTTTACACTTTCACTATCTAATATATTTTTATGTAGCTATGACGATAATAATTAGAGAATTTGGGAGGAGGGTTATGGAAAGGGTGGGAAGGAGCGGAGGAAATGGTATAATTTATTGTAATTAAAAATAAGATTTAAAAATAAAACCCTGCCAAGATCCATTTTAGCAGAGTTACATACATGAAGGGTTTATAAAGGAATATGACTAACAAATGGTGCCTTGTGAAGCATCTGTGAGGCAGGAGCATCACCTTTGGTCAGAGCTCCCTGCATGCTGAGCAGTGTGTAGGTAAGAATATCTAATCACCCCGCCCCTCCCCCGCAGCAGCTAGATTTTTCCATAGCTTGCTCCCTTAAGAGCTAGAGAAAGAGGTTCATTGACGGGATGAAGGCGGTTCAACTCTCAGGGGCTCAACCACATCCCTATGACATCAGACTTAGTGAAGGAAATCATTGTCTGTCTTAGAGATAAGGAAACCAAGGCTGAGGGTTTCAATGACCTGCCCAAGGTCATCCAGGGAAACCAATGGAGCAGAACACTCAAGTTTCAGGTTTTCCACCTCCTCTGATGGGTCTCTTTGGTAGCTAATCTTAAACAAGGGTAATTACTTGTGTGTGGTCGTAGAAAAAGCAGCATGCTGACTTCCGTGGCAGTGAAATTTGCATGACTGTGAGAAATCAGCACAATTTTCAAAAATTCACCAAGGAGTTCAATGATGATGATGGTGATTTTAATAACAGTGATGGCTGGAGATGTGGCTCAGTGAGAGAACGCATACTCAGCATTCAATCTGAGGTTTGATCCCCTTAATCCCACACGTTCGGTTAAGCTTATCATTGAATAGGGGGACTGGAGGGATGAGTCAACAATTACCAACCCTTGCTGCTCTTGCACAGACCTGGGTTCAGATCCCAGAACCCACAGGGTGGCTCACAACAGTAACTTCACTTCCAGAGGATCTGATGCCCCCTCTGGCTTCCAGGGCACACATGTGATACACAGGGAACATGTAGGCAGAACACTCGTGCACATAAAATAAAAATAATAAATCTTTTTGAAAAACCAATTACATTTTATTTTGAATAGCTTTACAGTTTAAAGTTGCATTTATTTATCTATTTGCTTGGGGGGTGCAGGGGAGCCATTGTGCCACAGCAAGCATGTAGAGGGTCAGAGGATAACTTTGGGAGTGGCTGCTCTCTTTCCACTGAGTGGGTTTCGGGATTGAACTGAGACCTGAGGCTTGTCAGCAGCATGTTTACCACTAACCCATCTCACCTGTCCTTGACTATGTTTTTCATGTGACCATTATATGCTCAGCCATGCTGGATAACAATAGCAAAAAGGAGGGATGGAGGGGGAGAGACCACATGAGGTTTAATTTAGATTTTAAGAACCTTATTTTAATCAAATCATATATATTAACTGAACAGAATTCCTTAAGTCAACATTTTTATGCTTGAAAGCTTAAAAAAAAACCGCTTGATTCTAATTCTATGGCAATTATTGTGGTGAGTGATAATGTCTTTGTTAGTATTGTTCATTTACACGGTAAATTAATTTATGCCTCCTCATTAACACTAATTTAAAATCATGACAATGCCGCAGATCTGTCACAAGTGACCTGTTGAAGGCATCTTGCTCTTTAGAACTCCCACAATCAACCCAAAAGGCTTCCAAGCCCCAAAGACCCCCAACTTTGCCAGGATAAGAGCGCTTCAGGGAATATTTCTGGATGAGCACTACCGGAAAGCATTTCATGGCTCCTAAAGGGACAATGTGCTTGGAAGAACTCAGGCACAGCATGACCCAATGAGCGTGGTGGGACACTTCCAGGCCTCCGAGTAGGCAGCAGTCTTTAAAAGGGTTATCAGCGATGAATTCCTAGCTACATTCTCTTGGGATGTCCCTCCCTAGCTGGGCTTCCCAATTGTCAGCAACTCTTTCTATGCATAGATGTGGCAGAAATCAGTGCAGGAGAGTAAAGATCAGAGACAGAACTGCTCTTTTGCTGGAGATAAGCAGAATTCAGTGGCAGAAACCATCTGTGGAACCCAGGCAGAGATGATGGCACGCCCATTGGCAAAAGGCCAGTGGAGGTGAAGACAGAAGAGCCTTTCTTCTTGAAATCGGGTCTTGCTACGGCAACCCAGGTTCTCAAAATCCTCCTACCTCAACTTTGCAAGTACTGGGATTAGAGGCCACCAACTACCATACCTGGTGAAAAGTCATTTTTATATGACACAGTCACCATAGACAGATATTGACATTCACCAGCTAGAAGAGATTTTATATAAAACCAAGAGGCCCCTGGAACACTACCTATGCTGGATCCCACCCCTACTGCTTTGTTGGGGGTGGGTCTCCTACTCAATCCGATCACAGGGTTTAAAACCCCCATACTGTCCCCAGGTTTCTAGTACTCTTTATCCCTTGTCTTTGCTGTCTTTGGCTCCATAAACCCCTATTTTCTGTATGGACCCCATGTTTGTACAGCAACACCCCCCATTCATATGTTGAAGCCCTAGCCCCTAATGTATTTGGGAGACTGTGATCATTTGTGGGAGAGCAGTAGGCCATGAGGACGGGCTCTGAGAGGAGGAGCAGTTGTAGTTTTCCATCCCCATTATCCTGCAGATTTCTGCTGCTTGTAGGGTAGGAAAGGTCTTGACAATACAGAGACCCAGAGGAGAAAGGAGGCCAGGCAAGAATCCAAGTCCATATTGCCTTTCTAATCAAGGAGACAAGGAACTGGTCATCCCAGCACTCTAGTTAAAGGCTGCGTTCTGTGCATATTCCTCAGCCCATTCAGGCTGATGGCATGCTTCCCACTGTTCTTCCTGGCATGAGTGAAGCATGCTGCTCTCCCTTACCTCTCTCTCCATGTGAGGATAGAATAAAAGGAAGACCATCTGTCGACAAAGCTGGAGGGCAGCTCTCTCCAGAACCCTGCTATCTTGGTTCCCTGAACTCAGACTTCCAACCTCCAGAACTGGAAGAAACAATTGTTGAAAGTCCTCTAGTCTATGGTCGTTCTGTTACAGGAAACAACTGACTAAAGCCTCTTTGGATATGATATGTAATGTACTTACATCACATTATCTTCCCACCCCTGCAGTGTAAGTTTTGCAGTGACAGGGATGTGTGTCTGCACACTACTGTCATCCCAGAATCTAGAACTGCTCATGCCTGGTACTTCACTGTCACCAATTTCTGGATAAACAGAGTATGCTACTGGCAGACTAAAGCACGACAGTAGGGGAAAGAAGCTAGGTTCTGTGACAAAGCATGTTTGCTGTGAATGATGTCATTGACATCAGCGTTTGCCTGCCTCCCCGGTGAGACAGTCTAAAGCTTACCAACACATGTTATCATCCAGAGGATAAATATTAGCAACATATTTTAACATGTTCACAAATTCAGAGGAAGAACTGGAAAACTACTGAGGACACATATGCATGACAGTAAACAGCCTAAGAGTTGGCACAGACAGCCCTCATTAAGAGCGGTTTTGCCAGCTAAACATGGCATGTTGTGGGAAAAGCAACTCCGCAAACAGGAAACACAGTCCTTGCACAGAAAGAAAAAAATCCTGCCCCAGCATTTCTTCCCTCACATCAGCTCTCATGTTTCCCCTGGCTCACTTGCTCAAATCTCCTCCAATTTGTTGGGGAATTACCACCAAATGGGGGAAAATTGATAGGAGATGAAATGAGAGGAAAATTCTGCATCCGCAATTCCAAGATTCAGACCATATTTCTCACCCCAAATTATAACGTTCTGATTTGAAAAATGTCCAGTTTTGTTGCTGACACCAGCATGAGGAAGAAGAGGAAGGGAGAATGGAATTAAAAAAATAAGCAAGGCTGGTCTGGGGAAGATGGCTAGAAAATAAAATTGAAGCATGTGATTTGTAAGTTGTGGTATACTTTATTCAACACCATCCTGATCGTACAAAATTGCATTTCTTTTCTTTTCTTTTCTTTTTTAAACAGGGTCTTACTAAGTAGCCCAGGTTGGCCTCAAACCCATTACCTTCCTGACTCAGCCTCCTGAGTGCTGATGCTACAGGTTGCTTTCTCTTGCATAACTTCACTTCCGTCTCTAAAGACAGCTTTGCTGCACTCCTGACTCAGTATTAGTCTTTGGGCTTCTCAGCTGGGTTTATTTAATAATGTGCTTACATTTTTAAAAAGTTCTTCAACTAATAATGATGGTGAGGACAGGCCAAAAAGAAAATCAGCTTCTCTAGTAGATCAAATCTTCTGATATGTTTATAGAAAGGAAATAATGAACTCATAATTATAATTGATAATATGCTAGGCCAGGGCAGGTGACACCTGAGATCAAGGAACAGATAAAGCACCAAAGTTTAAAGAACAGGTGTTTTAGGAGCTGGGGGGATGGTTCAGTCCGTAAAGTGTTTGCCATGCAAGCTTGGGGACTGTAGTTCTGATCCCTAGAAAAAGCGGGGCGTGGCAGCAATGTCTGTAATCCCAGATCTAGTGGGCAGAGACAAGCAGAGCCCTGACTCACTGACCAACCAGGCTAGCCAAGTTGGTGACCCCATGTCTCAAAAAATAAGGTGGACAGGAACCAAAGAAGGCACTGGCCTCTGGTCTCTACACACACAGACACACACATACACACATGCTTGCACACTGTACCCACCCCCCTCTCCCAGCAGGATCTTTGGGTTAAGTTAGGAGCCTATTGTCATTCATCTGTACTTGAATTCGAACTGTTACTGATGACTCAGCTAGAAGAAAGAGGGCAGTCTTCCTATGAAATGAAAACAGGGTGACCCACTTTCAGTTAAATCAAGCCTGATCCCAGGGGAGCCACTTTGTAAATTAGAAGCCTCTGTGTGTGTGTGTGTGTGTGTGTGTGTGTGTGTGTGTGTGTGGGTGCGCACATGTGCACATTTGAAGGGTGAGAGCCTGTCCTTTAACTTCAGTCTCCAGGCAAAGGTGTGCCCAAGTTCCCGAAAGCTCTGCTTCCACTGCCAGGGATGGATGTGTGTGACAACTTCCTTTGATGCATTGGCATTTCCATTCAGATGTTGATTTCTAAGCAGAGCTCCTCAAGTCCTCACTCTCTTCAGCTTTGATTTGGGCTTTCAATGTTCCAAAGGGCCCAGTCTGTCTGTGTGAGCAGCGTTAAATGGAGGAGCTAATTGACATTTACCTTGTCATGCCCTGGAACAATCAAGATGAGTGGGGTCTCTTCTCCCCACATCCATCACTGTGCCATGGCTCCTCTAGGCTCCCTCTGGAGACTACCAAAGCACAAGAAAGGCAGGGAGCAGCCATGTTGCTGAGGGGTGGGGATCCCTTCTGGGAGCTGGGAGGGGCTGACAAAAAGGGAGAAAAGTATTTCATCTCAGAACTCCCCCAAACACAAGCCCGTGTGATAATAACCCTCCCCTTGCCTCTGGTACATAGGAAGCATGCTGTTTCTGCTGTGAGTTAGAATAAGTGCTTCCTTCACTGATAAGTTTCAAGAAAAAGAATAAAAAGGGCTTAGCAGAGAAAGGGAAGATATCCAAACTGAAGGCAGAAGAAGGCAGAGAAGTGGCTAGAAAGACTGGCATACAAAAAGTAGCAATGCGTGGCTCCTTCAAGTGATGCCATTTGAATACTTGGCTTCCCCACACCCCTTATTCTCTGTTCTAATCTAAGGCTCCAAGTTTCAGGGGGAAACCTGATCCATTGAATTCAGACAACCTGCACAATAGGAATACTCAGAAAACCCTAATAGCCACTGGCCGTGTAGCAAACTATGCTCTGACCTGAAGCACTCCTGCAGTAGTCAAGTAACAGAGGGAGGCCACGAATTTTTTTTAAAGCCACTGCAGATGCGCTCAAGTTAATCATGCTGCTACAATTTAGAAGTAATAGACTCAACATTTTGAAGAAATAAACTGTGATCCAGTTGGGGGCCTTGCTCTAAGAGTGTTTGTTTGGCAAGCACATGGCCCTGTTGTTGGATCCTCAACAAGGCAGGGGCTCACTCATGTTCACATAGCCCCACCTCCTTTCTGGCAGACAAACAAAGATAATTTGCATCATTTTTCAAAACCTAAAACATTTCTTTCCCTCCTGTGTGTTTTAATATATAAAAACATTTGTCAGAGCATTAGTATTATCAGAGAAATAATGAAAAGAGGCAAGGAGATTCTTAAAATTTAAGATTTGGTAATTTTTTTAAAAAAATGGCTTCACAATTAGGGTTTCTATTCAGTGCAGGCAGATAAGAGTGTTGAATTTATAGAAACCAATGTCAAAAGCTACCCAAATGAAGGGTATTTTCATTCTTGAGACAAAGAATAAGTGTTTTTACTTTGTTTTCGTGATCCCCACTAATCTTTTGTTGTCCCATACATTTAAAACATTAAGTTAGCTTTAGGACTGTGACATCCTCAGAGGTGAGAAGGTACACAGACTTGCCCATCTTTTTAAAAAATGTGTGGGTTAAATATGGTGCATTCATCAATCTTCAAACAGCCCATTCTGTCAGAGGATTTTTTACATTGTCTTGCAATCTTTGTAATGCAAATCACTTGTCTTTTTAGAAGAGCTCTTTAGAGGGCCAGGAAGGGCTGTTAACGAGGGTTGGAGGGCCGGGCACCAGAGGAGCTTCCTCATGCCACAGCATACATGAAACTTCTCATTGTGTGCTTGCCGGCTGGCCCTCCAGTGGCCTGAATTATTTAACACTACAGTGGGTCCGAACAGTGCCGGCAAAAGCACCTGCCTAAAAACAAGGCAAGTACTCTGAAAATCAGTTCACACTATGAGAAGCAGACTCCAATTTAGGGATCCGAGCAAACAAATGGCTCTTTCTATATTGCAGTGTTCAAAAACCTCTAGTAATTTACCCATGGAATAAAGCAGCTGTAATATAAGCTGAACAACTGATAAGTTTTTTAAATGCCTCATTCAGAGTCTCTATCTTGGAAGCTGTGACACTGAACCCATTTTTTATTCAGACACAAATATTTTCTTTTGGCTCCAGAATTCATTTATTCAACATTCAATTTTTAGTTGGAAACAAATAGCCTTCCTACTGGCTTTCCTATTGCTGTACAATGAAGATTAATGTCAGGGTGGGGCATTCTTGCAGAAAAAACTCTGACACAAAAATTACCCATGATTCGAGGAAGCAGAACTAAGGGCCAACCCAGGAATTTCTCTCCCTCTAACAGTCCTTCCATTGAGCTCCACCCAGATTTGATTGTACTCCCATAGCAGGAAAATTTGTCAGAAAGAAATGTTTGATGCATCTAGAATCCAGGGGGTCGAGTCATGCATTATGAATGAATGGTTTCCAATGGTAACTCGGAGGCCAGGAGCTCAACCCAGGGCAGAGAGCCGGGTGGGGGAAGGGTAGAATCGCACATCCTCCACCTAGGAGTAGCCAGGAAGCAACCCTGTAAATTCAATACTTCATCCAAACATCAAGATGCAGGAAATGTAATTCTACTTGAAACAAACCAAGACAACACTAAAATAGCGACGAATAAGGTTAAAAATCTAATCCGTTCACAATAGCTTTCTCCCCATACTTGCTGATTTGATGCTTTTGTTTAGGCAGTGTGGGTCTTCCCCTATTTTATAATTAAAGAGCATGCAGCATCACCATGAAAGGGAAGCTAGAGCAGTAGGAGCAGTTATCCGCCAGAAATAACAGCAAGCAATTGGAACACTGAGGTTCCCATTTCTCCCGATAAACAGAAAAGTCAGCGAGGTAAAGAAAGACAACCCCTCCAGGCTATCGCTGCAGCTCCGCGGCCACCCCAAAGAACAATGCACATTTCTGCTACCGTCTCAAGTTTGGAAGCACCATGCAAAGAGGCTGGTTAAAATTCCCTACCATGCAATGCAGCCATCATCAGAAGCCCAGCATTATCTTCTGCTCTAAGTAGAGATGTGCCAGCTCATGAACAGGACAGAGGAAGAGAAAAAATGGAGGAAATGAGAGAAGGCTCAGGAAAGTCGGCAGGAATGTTTCTGGGTCATTAACAAGTAGGAGACCCCCTTCCGTATTCAGACCAATCAATCTTTATCTTACAGGACATCTTTTTCTCAGCCGTCTGTTGAAAGGACTGCAGCAAGCCACACTGCAGCAAGGGATTGTGGGATAGGGATGCAGCAGCGAGCTGCAAAGAGATTCGCGGGTGGCTGGCTTTCCCCTCTGAGTCAGCAGTCAGCTGCTAGCATGCTCCAGTGCAAGGCCGCCAGGCTCCATCCCCAAACCCGACTGCAGGATTAACCCCAGGAGGCGTGGAGCACCAGTCTCCTTGCCCTGTGGACAGGACTGGTACCACTGAAGGGTATTACGAATCAGAAAGAAGCTATGCTGGTCATATAAGCCAGTGCTAAGGCAGGAAGAATAGATTCCAGAATTGATGAAAAGTTCAGATTTAGAGGAGTGTTTTGGGTGGGTGTGACAGCATGCATTTTCATCAGTTAAACTAAAATTTGTTTCTTTGGATGTAGATTTTGCAAGTAGATTGAAAGAAGGGGGATTGTTTAAAATGCAAAATCAGTTCGGCTCCACAGCCTCTTCTTGCTCCCCACCCAATGTATCTCCGAGAAAAAGGTCCGTGCAACACAGTTCCACAAAGTCAAACAATACAGAGGACATTTCTCTGCTTTTTATGGTTTTTTGTTTGTTTTGTTTTGTCTTTTTTGTTTTGTTTTCCAAGACAGTGTTTCTCTGTGTAAAAGTTCTGACTGTCCTGGGACTCTCTTTGTAGACCAAGCTGGCCTCAAACTCACTGAGATCCGCCTGCCTAAGTAGTAGCCTAAGTGCTATTGACAATAAGAAGAAGACATTATTTCAAAATCTGCTAGCATATTCACAGATGTGGATAACTATTGCCATACTCAACTGTTCAAGGTTTTCACTACCTCAAAACCAAATCAAACCCTGTAGCTTTAAGCTGCCACCACCTACCTTTCTAATCTACTTTCTGTATAGACTTCAACTTGTAGGGGACTCAAATACAAAAAGATTTTTCTGCTCTAGACTCATGGCAATGAAGTCATGTAAAATATTGTTATATATGTCCGGCCTTTTCCTTTCAGCACATTTTAAAAGTTCATCCATGATAGCATATATCAGTATTATATTCCCTTTATTGACAGTATCCCATTATATGAGGATAGAACTTTGTAATCATTATCTATCTATCTATCTATCTATCTATCTATCTATCTATCTATCTAGACAGGGTTTCTCTATGTCTCCCTGACTGTCCTGGAACTCGCTCTGTAGACCTGGCTGACCTTGAACTCAGATATCTGCCTACCTCTGCCTTCTGAGTGCTGGGATTAAAGGCATGGACCACCACTGCCCAGCTGCAATTACCCATTCTTAACAGTTAGTGGACATCAGGGATGTTTTGACTTGGGGCTCTTATGAATAATGCTACTGATAAACATTTGTGTACAGGGTTTTAGGTGGACATATATTCTGCCTCAGAAATTTATAATGCAGTTGGGATCAATTCTTAAAACTACAAGCAGGACCCCTCACATCAGTTTACAAAGTCCTTTCCCTAAGACAGGCCATCACAAAGGTGTCTGACTTGGTATGTTGGGAAATGATGCCGAAGAAATGAGGCAGGAAGTGGGGGTGGTCCTTAGTCTTATTGCTGGGCTTGTAGTTAAAGAAAGTGCACTTATTCAATCCTTCCATGACACTCACTGATTATCTAGTGTGTTTCAGGCACTGAGTAGGTCCTGAAGACATAAAAAACTTAACAGACTCTGAGCCTTTATGCCATAATCAAATACAGAAGATGGACTTTAGCATGCAGGCGGTTATCTAGTAAGAGTAAGTCCTGACAGCAAGAGGAATGGGGATGTCCTGGGCAGCCATGGAGGGATGCACACAGGACCCAGCACAAGCAAAGGCTGGGAGGTCAGCTAGCTCACTGGAATTGAGAGTCCTAGACAAGCACTGCTGGAGTATCCTCTCACAAATGTGGATATTATGTCCCCCCCCCCCCCAAATGCCCGTGTATTAAAGGCTTGGTTCCCAATGTCCTAGAGTTTGGAGGTGGGGCTTCTGGGAAGTAATTGAATTGTGAGCACTTTGACTTTATTGAGGGATTAACCCCCTGATGGCTTCATAAATTTGATGGCATTGTTGAGAGAGAGGTACTGGAGTTAGGAGGTGAGCGTGTCCTGAAAAGATGAACCTTGTCCTTCTGTCCTGCGCTCTCACTTTCTGGCCTACCTGAGGTAACCAGCTCTGCTCCACTGTGCCCTTTCCCATGTTGTACTGTCTCACCCACAGTGTTGGGTCCAAGCAACCAAGGTTTGAAACTACCCTGTATAAGGTGCTGGGTTTGCTCTCCATAACAAACAAACAATTAAGGCACACCATACCTTACTAATCCCTCTGAGCTGCCTCCACCCTCTACTTGTTTCTATTCAACTGAATCAGAATTAACAGTCATCAGTCAGTTTGACCACAGTATGCACTTTTGCAAATGTATAGACAGTACACAGTCATAAGACCAAGACCTAATAAGGTTAGTGGGACTGTGGAATCCCATGACCCCAAAATTTATTGATGTTATTGAATATGAAGATTCATTCAATTTAAGGCACTTGAAATGCATTCAACCTATTCTCAAGCAAAGCAGATTCTCCTAGAAAGTAAGCTACTTGGGATAATACAAAATGCTATTTCTGATCTGGCCATTGCTGTCTTCCCTTTTCTGCACTTTCTCTCTTCCTTAGCTATAATCCTAGTTCTAAAGGTATGCTACCATGTAAAATCTTTTTGCTTGTTTGTTTGTTTTTAAAGAAGTGATCCTTAACCAGGAAATATAACCAAACCCTATGGGTTGCTGGGATATGCATCTCTGAAGGGTACACATGACTGCCATACTGGAGGAGAGTGGATGCCCTACTGACATTTAGCGCTGGGCACAGTGGTACCAAACACCTTTCAATGCTTGGGAGAGTCTCACACAAGTACATTTACACCCCAAGCTGTCAACAGCATCTCCTTTGGGAATCTTGTTCCCTAGGCTCGCATACCGCTTGTTCTGGCAAGAATACATATCTTCTCTACCTCCCTCTCACCCCTTCAAAGTCACCGGCTCCCCCTCCAGCTACTAGACCCTCTCACCCCTAAATTGAGTGGAAGAGCCACTCATGCAAGTTCTGTAACATTCCTAACTAAAAGCTGTGAGAGGTTCTATCTTCTATTCCTAACCTCCCAGGCCCCAGTGCAAGGCTTGTCCCATAATAGATACTCAGTAATAGACACAGAATGCTGAGATCTTCCTACAAAGCAATGAGTGACAGAATCTGATTTAAGGTAAACATTCATCTCACAATCGGAAAATAATTGGACCAGAGGTCATTAGAGAGAGGCAAATCTTAAGAGGAACTTAAGATGTAGAAAGGGCTTTCATCATAGATTTTTCTCCTTGAACTTCAAAGCAAACCTCCCAAAAGGTAGGAGTAGGTATTATGATTGTTCTAGTAGAGACTAAAGTTTAGAAAAGTTAAGTGCACAGCTGAAGGAGGAGTAGCTGCTATATAGCAGAGGTGAACTGTGCCATGTGCCCCTAGTGGATAATTGATAGCAGTGAGAATAACCAGACAATTCCAGAGTACACCAAAGCCAGCTGGTTCAAGAGTTATTCCTGCCAGCAACATAATGGATATAGCCAATGAAAAGCAGGCAACCTGAAACCAGAAAGCTTAGAAACTGCCTGGCGTAACCATTACTTCCTTTTGTTTTCAAAGAATTCTTGGGAGAATCCTTGCCCGACTCTCATGAAAGACGATGATAAGGAACAATTGTTTCAATCCAAGAACTCACATCAGAACTGTCCTGGTGTTGGCACTGCCACCAGATACATGTCTAGCTTACAAATGATTATGTGACAGATACTGTGTTAGGCGCAGAAAAATAAATGACAGAAATATAGAGCTTCTAGAAATCATCCCTGGGGACAGGGTACCCTGCTTCTAGCTCATAGTCACATGGATTGGATCCAAGGAGACAGCTCTTTCCAGCTAGCAATAATGGCAGAAAAGGGAGACTCAGATGAAGCACCCCAATTAAAGACATGTTTGGGTGGCATCTGCCCAGCACAAAATACAAGAAAATCATTGCTTTTCTTCTTCCAAGCCCTGTATTCCTGTAAATGACCTTGGAGTTGGCGATATCTTTCCCATGGTGACTCATGCTGAGCAGACAACAATATTGAATCCAATAATCCTACACAGAAAGGAATTCCTGTTGGCCTGGAACAGTGGACTGAGGCTGCTTCCTCAATGGGTGCTTCTAAGCTGCTCCACTAGCAATCATCTAGCATTATGCCTGTTAGCCAGTTCCTCTATAATTTGTGGGTTTCATCATCTTATTTTCTTAACTGAAAAGTGTATTCTCCTATCTCAGTCTTCATAATCCTTCCCTTTCTCTAAACTGGGGTCTGTGGTTTGGCAGTCTTGGCTATATATGTCATCCAGGAACTTGGAATGTAATTTGTGGAAGCTAGGGCGCAGGTTCATTTAGATCAAGTATGTTTTCCCTTATACTGCTTTTACCTATAATATTCATTCCCTGGGACTGCAGTGCCAGAACCCCACAGGCTGCCATGGCACAAGAGAAATGTATTCATTCATAGTTCTGGAGGCCGGATGTCCAAAGCCAAGGTTGGCAAGGCTAGGTTCCCAGTGAGCCTTCAGGGGAGCATTCTTCCAGTTTCTGGTACCCACTAGTTTCCTCTGACTATAAGCAGAAGTATCACTTCAGTCTTGTTACCCATTCTAACACGACTATCTTTTTGTATGTCTCTGTCTTCACATGGCATTTTTCTCTCCATGTCTCTGTTCTCGTATGAGAATAATCATATCTGATGAAGACCCATTATGTATATGACCTCCTTGTAACTTGACCACACACGTAAAGATTCTGTTTCCAAATGAGGTATCAAGGGTTAGGACCTCAGTGAATTTTTGGGGAAGGGGACCCAATTCAACCTCTAATATCTACACTGGGTAAAGGGGTAACATGAAGCTCAGGCTGATGCAGGCCTGAGAGCCACCTGGGTTTTCACCTTACAATTCTCGAGTTTATATTCAACGGGAAGCACTCTGTTTGT